TCCTGCCACACCTACAGCTACTGCCATACGTGCTGCTCTTGGCTCACCTGCAGCTCCTGCCTCACCTGCAGCTCCTGGCTCACCTGCAGCTCCTGGCTCACCTGCAGCTCCTGGCTCACCCACAGCTCCTGCCACACCTGCATCTCCTGCCTCACCTGGAGCCCCTGCTGCTCCTGGCTCTCCTGCAGCCCCTGCTGCTCCTGGCCCTCCTACAGCTCTTGCCTCATCTGCTGCTCCTGCCTCACCTGCATCCCCTGCTGCCCCTAGATCACCTGCAGCTCCAGCCATACCTGCTGCTCCTGGCTCTCCTGCAGCTTCTGCTTCACCTGCTACTCCTGGCTCTCCTGCCTCATCTGCATCCCCTACTGCTCCTGGCTCTCCTGCAGCTCCTGCCTCATCTGCTACCCCTGCCACATCTACAGCTCCTGGCTCAAGTTCATCTCTTTCCTCATCTTCAGGCCCTGCCTCACACACTGCTCCTGCCTCAGCTGCAGCCCCTGGCTCAGCTGCAGCCCCTGAAGTGTCTTCATCTACAGATTCTTCCTCACCAGGAGCTCCTGCCTCACCTGCAGCTCTTTCCTCACCAAGAGCTGCTGCCTCACTTGCAGCTCCTTCCTCACCTGAAACACCTGCTTCACCTGCAGCTCCTGCTTCACCTGCAGCTCCTGCCTCACTTGAAACTCCTGCAGCTCCTTCCTCAGCTGCAGCTCCTCCCTCACTTGCAGCTCCTCCTTTACCCACGCTTTCTCCCACTGCTTGCCCCTGGGGCTGTGCAGGGAGATTTTGACTCTCCTGAAACTCAGAATCAGGGACGTGGGGCAGGAAGATCACACTCCAGGGCTCCCCACTGCCTGATATTTGTGGGGGGATCAAACTTCGGTTTAAATACTCAGCAAACTCGACCAAAGCAACCCTGGCTCCAAGCTCCTTTCTGAACACCCTGCAGAGCACTCGGAATCTGCCCAGGGGTCTCAGCGCAGCCTGCAGTATCTCTTGGAACTCATCTTCCTCGCAGTCATCAGGGATGCCCATGATGAGCAGGCAGTGCTGCACGTTCACACCCATCCACCTGCACCAATCTTGCAGCATGGACAGCCCCATAGCCGGGGAGCTGGGTGAAGGGAGCATGACTGCACAGGGTATCAGCTGACTGTTGCAGTCTCAGGAGAGGCCTGTGGATGGGAAAAAGGAGAAAGGGGTGTTGGTGTCAGATAACACAGCTCCCCAGACATCTGCCTCAACAGCATAGGATCAGGAGTTTGTCCTCTTCCCTATTTTGTTGTTTGATTTTGAGAAAGTTTTTGATAACAAAATTTATAGGGCTAGCTATTCTTTTTATTTCATCTGGTCAGATTTAGTAAGTTGCTCCGCCCTACCAAGAAATGTGAAATCTTCTGTTTTTGACATTTTTGCATAAATATGTACTTAATATTTCCTATCTTTTTAATGTGTGTGTGACCTATAATAATACCCTTTCTTTCACTCCTGGTGTTGGTCATTAACACTTTTTCTCTTGCTATTGTTATTAGCATTTACCAATTTGGTTACTCTAAATAAATCCGTTGTCTGTGTAGCTATCACTGCCTCTTTTATTTCTATCATTTCTTCATTTGACTTTTTAATTTATTTTTGCTCTTCTACCTTCTGTAATACAAGCATTTTTAGCAATAAAATTTCCTCTGGCTCTTGTAGCTGCCTCATAATTTTGGTAAGTTGTAATTTTTTAAATATTGAGTTTTAAGTACTTTCTAAATTCCTTTCTAATTTCTTCTCTGACTTGTGGACTTCCAAATATTTAGAGATGTTATTGTTAATTTTAAATAGAATTCTAGTGTGATCAAAACTTATGAGGTAGAATCATTTTAAATTTATGAAAACATTTTGGGGGGCACTGAGCTTTGAACCCACAGCCTGTGCCTTGAGCTCCATCCTCAGCCATTTTTTACTTTTTGTATTTTAGAGATAGGGTCTCAATAAATTGCCCAGGCTAGTCTCAAACTTGTGGGCTCAAGCAACTGTCCTGCCTTAGCCTCTTGGGTTGCTGGGACTACAGGTGCACACACCACTGTACTCAATTTAAGAAGAATTTACCGCCCAATGTATGGTCTCTCTTGGTAAATGTACAATGCACCCACCCCCTCCCGAGCCACTAAGAGTCAGCCACTTAGCAGTGCACAGCCACACACGCAGCTACCAGACAGGGTCCCACCATGTGCACAGATACTAGCTTTCTGGCCTGACCTTCCCACACAGAGGTTCCTCCGTTCTCAGGCTCCACATACCTGCGGCCAGTAGCCATACACTATTACTTCACAATAAGGGTGCCCTCTGTTGCAGCGGTCCAACATACATACAAGACAGGCAGCCCTTTGGGCAGGAGATCCGCTCATCTGTGCGGGGGGGACCGGAGGTGAGGGGGTTCCCGCTCGGCCTCCTTCCAAGCATAGCCCCTCCTGCCCGCTCTCCGCTGCTTCCAAGTCAAAGTCCAAAGCCCTTGGTGCGGGTTTGCCACCTCCCTCCCTGTGCCCCCCCACCGCGGTCGCCTCTCTGCGCAGTCAGCAGCCTCCCCTCCCTCCCCTCCCACCCGCACACGTGCACAGCCAAGCGCTCTCCGCCCGCCTGCCACCTCCAAGTCTGACGCCTGTCCCTGGCACGGGCTTGCTGCCTCCCTCTGCACTCGGTGGCCTCCCTTCCCACCAAGCGCAGCCGAGGGCCCCAGCCCGCTCCTCCGAAGCCAAGCGCCCACACTTAGCAGCCTGTACTTCCGACGCCCTGGCCTGCCACCTCCGCATTTGGCTGTTCTCTGTTGTTGGCGGCCTCCTTCCCGCCTACAAAGCCGCCCACCAGTCACTGCTTCCAATTCCCACGCCCACGGCGTCCCCCGCTTCCCTCCACGGTCCTCGACTTCCCTTCCGGCCCTGAAAGCCAGCACCCGGGGCCCATGGCGTGACCCAGTCCCTCCGAGCTTGGTGGGCCCCTTTCCCACCCGCCATCTCCAAGTCCGACGGCCGCAGCCCGCCCCCGCGCTCCGTAACCTCCTTTCCCGCCTGCGCTGCCTCGCTGCGGCGCCACCACGCGTCCCTCCGTGCTCAGCGACCTCCCTTCCGGCCCTGTCTGGCGCCCCTCCGTGGTGGGTCGCGCCTCCCTCCCCACCACGCAGCCGCCAGCCGGCCACCTCCAAGTTCCTCCCCGCGGCGCCACTCGCGCGCCCCTCTGAGCTCCGAAACCTGGTTTTCGGCCCTCTACCTCCAACGCCGATGCCCCGCCCGTGGCGCCCCGTCCCGCGCCTCCTTTCCGGGCCCCAGCCGAGCGCCGCGAGCTGCCGGGGCGCCTGCCTCGTGTGGCCCCTGTCCTCCCCTGCTCGGCCACCTTTCCTCCCGCCCACCTCTTCCAAGTCTGGCTCTCTTGTCGCTCCTGCACCCGCAGGCTCCACGGCCTGCTTTCCCGCCTCCTCCAGCCCCGACGCCACCTCCCAAGTCAACTCGCGCGCGCCCCACCAGCTACCCGGCCCCTGGCTCGCGACCTCCGCCCTTAAAGCCACCACTGCCACGGCCCAGCCGCAGCGCCGCCACCCACCTGCTGTCCCTCCGCGCTCAGCGGCCTCCCTTCTCCTTTCGCGCCCGCGCAGCCCGCACCCCAGCACCGCCTCCCGACCCAACCGAAGCGCAGCCCAAGCCGCGCTGCCTGCCACCACCTCGTGCCCGACGCCGCCGACGCCGCCTCCCTGCGCCCTCGCCCTCGCCCGGCGCCCCGCGGCAGCCTCCGGCTCGCTCGCTCGACATGCACCTCAGGTGCCGAGGCCCCCAGCGCCTCAGAAGGCACCGCCGCTGCGCCCGCCGCTCCCTCCTCAGCCGCGGAGGAGCCTTCGCCCCCTCCCCGGGACCCCCCGAGCCCAGTCCACTCACTTTCTCTGCCTGGAGTCCCGGCTCCGCGGTCACACGCCACGCCAAGGGTGCAAGGAGTTCGAGAAGAGTCCGAGCTCGCAGCCAGCAGCCCGCGCGCGGCCACAGCGCCAAGAGCTGTGTGAGCTCCCAGAAACCCCCGGGCTTCGACACGCCCCTGCCACCCCAGAGAATGTTCTGGAAGCTTCTGCACGGCGCGGGGAGGGGACGTGGGGGCTCGGGAGCTCAGGGGGCAGAGCCAGGGGCCTCACGAGGCCCGCACCTGCCGCTCGGGGCTTGACCCAAGGTTCCACGCGGGCGGGGCCCTGGACACCCCCTGCGGCCCTCCTTCAATAAACGGCCTGTCCTGGAGGAGCACGGCGCTCCGCCCTTAGCGCAACTACCTGCGAGGCTCAGGCAGGAAGAGGCCGGAAATCCTCGAGTTTGAGCCCAGCCACGGCTATTGAAGTACATGGCAAGACTCTGTCTCAAAATGGAAGAAAATTTTAAATGGGATGAGGATGTAGCTTAGTGCATAGACCCTAGGTTCAATCTCCACTGCCACAATTTTAGAAAGAAAAGAAAGAAAAAAGAAAAAACTGCAAGCCAAATGTGGTGGCGCACCCAAAATAAAAATGAAAAGGGGGTGGAGCTCAGTGAGAAGGTCCTGGGTTAAATGCCCAGTATGACAAAAAATAATAATATAATAATAATAATAATAATAATAATAGCTAATTTAAATTTCAAAGCCCCACAACCAAGGCAGTAGGATTGGAAAAGTAAATGAATCCCTTTACAGTATTCTAGAAATTTTTATTTCATATATTTTGAAGCTCTGTGCTTGAGTGGTAACACATTTATGAACTTTACGGTTTCCTGACTAATTATCCCTCATCATTAGCTTTGATCTCTGGGGGCTCTTTGTCTTTATTTTTCTGCTATTCATCCCACTTTCTTCTACTTATCTTTTCATGGTGCATCATTGTGCAGCCTACTATTACCAACCCATGTGAGCCTCAACTGAATCGCTTGGAAATGGCACAGAGAAATATCTGTTCAGTTCCTTTCCTGGAGTCTTCCCCGTGTCTGTCTTGGTTTTTCATGCATTCTGACAGTCACCACCATATAACTGAAGTGCTTAGCTTATTATAATTTAATTTGATTTGGTTGGATTTAGGGTTATCCTTTTACTGTCTCCTCTAGTTTTGTTTCTATGCTCCCTTTTTGTGCCTGTGTTAACAAATTTTTTTACAATTTCATTTAAATTTATCTATTGCTTTTTTAGCAGTGTCATTTTGCATTATTAATAGTTGCTCCAGATATAAAACATATCCTTTGTTTTTCTTTGCCTGTTTATGATTTATGTTGTGCCACTTCACATAAATCTATGAACCCTTCCACTATATAGGTTCATTCCCACTATGTCCCATCCATTGTGCCACATGTTGTACCTACATATGTTGTAAACACCACAATACACTATTATAAATTTTACTTTAAACTGTCATATGTATTATAAAGAAAGTAAGACTAAATAAATATCCTTTAATATCTACCCATGTATTTACCATTTCTGGTGTTCTCCATTTCCATCCTTTTTTTTTTTCTTTTTTCTTTTTTCTTTTTTTTTTTTGGTACCGGGGATTGAACTCTGGTCCTTGCGCTTGTGTAGCAGGCGTTGAAACCACTGAGCTAAATCCCCGGCCCCCCATCCTTTTCTTCAAACTGAAAGACTTCTTTTAGCATTTCTCCAAGTGGAAGTCTGTTGACAAGTTCTCTTAGTTTCCATATATCTCAAAATATCTTCATTTTACCTTGCTTCTTGAAGGATATTTTCCCTGGATGTAGACACAGAGTTCTAGGTTTCCGTCTTCTTCCTCTTCTTTCTCCTCCTCTCCTCCTCTCCTCCTCCTTCTTTCAGCAGTTTGCCAGAGTTCCACAGTCTCTTGGCTTTCATTGTTTCTGAGGAGAACTCAGGGGAACTTCATGTTAGTGTCCCATAGGTGATGATTCATTTACTCTGCTGGCATTGGAGATTTCCTCTTCATTCTTTGTCTTCAATGCATTGACTACAATGCACCTTCATGTGGTTTTTCTTTGTATTAGTCTTCCTTGAAGTTCACTGCACTTTTTGAATTTGTACATTGTGTCTCTCCAAATTTTGGAAATTTCATTCATTATTTCTATAAGTAGGTTTTCTTCTCATTCTCTGTCCTCTCTCCTGGGATTCCACATGCCACATTTATTAGACCTTTTTATGTTGTCTCACAGCTCACTGAAGTTCTCTTACCTTCACTTTTAAAAAATATTCTGTCTTCTTGATTTTCAGAATGGATCATTTCTAGTTATCTACCTATAGGTTTGTGATTCTTCTGTCATCTAAAATCTACTATTAAGACCATCCGATAAAATTTTCACTTCAATTTTACAAGTTCTAGAATTTATAAATAATTATTTTCAATAGCTTCTTTTTCTTGTCTTAAATTTTTCTTTTGAGACAAGATCTCAAAATGTAGTTCAGGGTGGCCTTGAACTCAGTATGTAGCCCGGCATGCTGGCCTTGAACTTGCAGCAATCCTTGTCTCCCAAGTGCGGGGATTATAGGAGAGCACTTCCACACCCAGCTGATATATTTCTTTTTAAAAGTTCACTGTGAGTATAATTTATGTCCTTAAGCATATTTTAAATCATTACAGCTTATACTATCAGAATCATCCAGAGTCATCTTGCTTTGAATGCTTTTTTGTTAGTATCAAGACATTGAAACAGGGCAGCACAGGGATCCAGAAGGGAACCATTCTGAACCCAGGAATTGTTGTACTGCTCAGTGGCTTGCTGAGAATTAAAGGGCAAGCAAAAAACTGCCTCAACAAAGGCACAGCAGGCTGCATCTGTTGAAATGAGAAGACATGTAAACAAGTCTCAGATCAAGACTTATATATCAAGACATTTTCTTATGTCTCTTAGTAATTTTTTTTCTGCTAATTTAGCATTATATCCTAGACATTGCCAATAATGAGTTCTAGTGGTTCTGGCTTTTTTGTTTCTGTTATAGTCTCTAAAGAAGCATTGCTGTTGCTGTTGTTGTTTTGCCAGGCAGTTGACTTAGCTAAACTCAGACTCCAAACTCTGTCCCATGTGCTGGGCATGAAATCTCTATTCAGTTCCTTTCCCAGCATCTTCTCTGTGAATGCCTAGCTCTGGGGAGAGCCAGAGACTTGGGCAGAGTTAATATGCCAACTTTGGGGCTCCCTATCCATTTCCCTCCTTTCCAGGAGCACTGGCTGCCCCCTAAAGTCAGTCTCTGGGTTTTGGCCAGCCAGCATAGTGACCTCTGTGGCTTGAGTTCACATACAATCAGGAAACTCACCTATTGCTGGCTCCTTCTTCTAAGTATCCATTTTCCCTTGGTTTCTGCCTCTACTACTTGGTCCCTCCTGCTACCCAGAACTTTTTTTTTTTTGACCAAGGATCAAACTCAGATCCTTGTGCTTGTGAGGCAGGCAGCAGAACTACTGAGCTAAATCCCCAGGCC